TGCACATTTACAAATTAGCATTTCAATCATGCAGGTACATGGCCAGCCGAGCAGAAAATATACATGTTTTTCTAATTCAAGGCACAAAAAGATAAACAAAACACTGTCCATGTTAGAAGAATTAGCATTTCAGAGCTAACTGAAACTGAACTGCTATGTATTCTACACATTTCTGTTTGGGACTCATACCTAAAAATAAAGGTGTCTCTTCCGCTCTCATATTCCATTCAGTGTTAACTCGCAAACTCGTAGCATTGTGTAATAACGGCTATTAGGAGATGAATACAAGATCTGGGTTGTGGTGTTTATTTGGCTGACATGATGTGACATTTGAATAACTGTATGCTCTCTATGATGGGCATTCTAATAAGCCAAGGCAAACACCTTTCGTCTCCTTCTCCCTCTTTCTCTCTCTCTCGGGCATTAATATTAAAAAGGACTGAGCTTTAGAAACACAGAGCTTGTGTGGTTGTTCAATCCGCTCCCTGCTTTACCTGCGACTCTGGGCGTAGTGGTGTGCAAATGAGAATCTCCTCACTGCCCTGTTTGACCTCTGTGTTATATTTTCATGTTCTCAACTATTTTAGAATTCTTGTTTATACAGCTCTGTTTCAGTTGACATGCATACATGCATATTCCTTCCTGGTAGGTCTGCTCTGTGCGTGCGTGCGTGCGTGCGCGTGTGTGTGTGTGTGTGTGTGTGTGTGTGTGTGTGTGTGTGTGTGTGTGTGAGAGAGCTCCAGTAGGCTTGTGACACATATATGTATACTCCTCCTCTTCTTTCTTCTGTCTTTTGGGTGCAATTTCCAGCTCCCTCCTGTAGGACCTATTTTCTGTGACAAAAACGGAGGTGTTTATATACTCAGTTTTACATACAGAGCGATCCCCCACACAGCTCTGGCACAGCTCCAGCGCTCTCCAGGCACTCCGGTGCTTGGTCCCTGTGTGGCGCAGCCACTGAAGACTCAGTGACAAATGGCAATTATATTTGTGTGTTCTTCATGAATCCATCAAACACTGGCCTTTTAAAAATGCTCCCCAGATATTTGAGGCTGTCAGCTACTAGTAGCTGGGACCAAATTGGGATGCTGCTTAGACAGTCAAGAACTACTCACCCCCTAGTTTCCCCTGTGATGTGTGTGACAGCGTGTGTAGGGGAATACCATGTTTTATTCAACTACAAATGTACACTCTCAACAGTTGTTGATATGCTAGAAATAGGGCGGTTACAAGTCCAATTTGAAGTGTGTGTGTGTGTGTGTGTGTGTGTGTGTGTGCGTGTGTGTGTGTGTGTGTGTGTGTGTGTGTGTGTGTGTGTGTGTATGTATGTAATATGTGTGTATGTGTGCGTCCAGTTGATCCTCCAAAACATGGTGTTTTAATGCAACCTGTCAGGCTGTGTGCATTCGGTTATTTCAGGACATGTACCCATCTCTACAAGCTTGTGGCAACCACACAACTCTTATGATTTGAATATTTGCTGGGAGTTGTTCATACTAAATGTTGATGCTAGTTGTGTTATAGGAACAACGCAGTAGCAGCGTGCCTCTGCTCCGTCAGGATTTATTAACAGGGCCAGCTCATAATCTCATAAATCACTTGTATCCTCAGATGTGGAAACAAACTTTATGTTCAAAAACTTCATCACTGCATTATCTTATCTTGAGGTTATGAAGTCTAGTCTTGTGTACTTGTGTACCCATATTAAAAGCTCATAGAGGTTTTGTGCACACTTCTAAAATGTCTATTATATAGTAAAATTCACAGTGATTCATTTGGATTGACTTATATAATGCAAAATGCACAATGTTTGATACATTTCAAAGTGGACTTGACAAATGCCAGCTTTTTCCTAAATCTATATTGTATGCAGTTTTACAGCACACATTGAACAACCAGATGATCCTCATGAGGTACTCAGAACAAATGCTATACATTTCTCTTTCATTGCACTGCATGTACAATGAAAGTTTCCCCAACTTACCACCCTAGCACAATTCCAACAGGACTTACTGTATTTCTGCTTTTTCTCATTATGTCTTCATTTGTCTCTTGGTGGCTGTACAAGTCTGTCATTGCCATCCTTGACAGTATCATCATTATCATGATCAATGATTATGAATATTTTTCCACCGTGTCCATTCATCTTAGTCACTGTGTTCATCAGGATAAAAATAAAGACTGTGAATGTGTAAAGACGATCCAAGAACCTGCCACCGAAGCGCGCCGCTCTTCGGACTTGAACCACTCTTTAGGGCTTTGCAGCGTGTCAGAAACCTGAGTTGCTGCTTATGTACTCTGGGTTTTACGTGGTGGTTCCTTAATAACTATTTGTACTTTGGTAAATTGAAGGTTTGACTTCCTCAAAAGGAAAGGTAATTATGCCTCCGAGTCTACTTTGGCCTATTTGTGCATGAACATGTGTCTGTGTGTGAGTCCATGTGGCGAGATCCCTTAACCTAAATGGGAATAACGACTATTATTACGCAAGACACTGTGGGTGATTGATTTGTTAAGGAACTCTTATTCTCTACACAGGAATTTGCTGTGTTGTACTGACTTGGAGAAACAGGTGAATTATTATTATTGTGCGGTGTTAGCTGCGAATTGTGCAATGTTTGTGTGTGTATGTGGTCTTTGCCAATGAGTTTGTATCATGAGCTGTAGAGAGGGATTTCCCTTGTCATCCCCATTAAAGTCAGCCAGTGCTTTTTGTGTTCGCACATCAAAGTATGAGGCTACATCTGATGAAGAAAATAATGTAAATAAAAAAGAAATTGTTGGAATGATGATTGGATTGGAAACAATTGATTTAATCCTTGATTTAAATCTTTCTCAGTGTAAATCTAAAGACAGCAATCCAACCATCTTCATGACAAAACTAAAAGAATAAATCACAGCCAAATGACGAGCTACTTTTTATTATCTGGTTTGTGAGTCTTGTTGATGAAAACATTTTGCTAGGGTGTGACTCAAATTAACTGACTCCAGATGAGTATAATGCACTAAGATTTCAAAGATTAGTAATTCATTTAGAAATTCAAACGTCTTCCTGGTAAATCAAAAGTTTGCCTTGGCCACCCGAGTACATACCACTGTGTTAATGTGTAGGAAACCCTAAGTGTGTGTTTTCCATGGTTTCTTTTTCATATTGGTTGGCACAGCTTAAGAAAAAAATAAGCGCTGGAGAAAAAAAAGAGGTGAAAAACATGCACAGTTGCAGCTGTCAGGGGTAAAACTGAAGAACAACAACAGATGTAGCCTACTCTGAGTCTCCTTGTTAGCAAGCTTTAGTCTCTCCTCACATTGTCATGGGCAGGCTGCAAGGCTTTTGTCTTTTGGAGAAGAAAATCCATCAACCTGGTCTTAAATCACTGCATAATGAATTCTATCGTGTGCTACCCAGTTGTCTAATTCAAATTGCATGGAATCCTGATCCCTAAAGTCTATATTTGTTTATCAGAGCAGCATGCAGAACCCTGAATGAGGAGAAGGCAAAACCCAGTGTGTGTATTTAATTGCTTTGTTTTACATCCACATTCACGTCCGGCCTCTCCCAGAGTGATGTGTTGTTAAAAAGCGCGAGGCCCGATTCCCACACTCTCGCCCTCTCTTGTTAACCGTAATTGCACTTGTTGGTGAGCTGACAGAAAGAAAATAGAGATGGAAAGAAATTACCAGCATCATATTAAGTTCTATGTTTGCATCTACTTTGGAAAATTTGTTGATTTTTGGACAGCTGGAAAACACTTAAACAAGCCAGCTAGCACTATACATCTGGTAAATAAGGCAGAATTCAGAGTTTGGTAGTGAAGATACTATATATTCAATGTATATGAAGGAAGTATAGTATAGAAAAAAATGAATAAGTATGGTTCACACAGACAAACTTAAAAAGAGATGAATAATTCACAAAATCTCAAGTTAACCATGCACTGGCGGCGTGTGCACATGCACAGTGGCTCTGATGTGGAGGGAAGGTAATGTAGGAGTAACTCCCAGTAGAGCTGAATGTGCAGGTGTTCCTCAGTAAAATGCCACCTCCTTTGCTCACTCACATCCTTCGCCTTCTTTCTTATCAGACAGGTCGCTGTCTCCTGACTTTCTGTGGCTGTCACACATACACTTAGTAAGACTAGTTGAGGCCATCTCTGAGCTTTCAGAGGAAAGGAGATCATTACTGTTGCAGACAGCAGCTATTTTGTATATGCACAGTATCACAGGCTCTCTTTCTCTTTTTTCTGTATTAATCTCTCTTTCTCTCACACTGTCTTAACTCACCTGGGTACTGCTCCCACAAATGTCTTTCTGCCTACAGCAGTGGCTTTTGTGAACCTGTCACATATAAGGTTCCTGTATCTCTCCGTTTCTCTCTGTCACTCCGGGTTGAAATGTTTGCCATATGATCGATATTATCATGTTAGGAAATGGTGGCAAGATTTGCTGAGAGTGATTTCGCTGAGAAAGGTGTCTCCATCCGTGTTCGGTTTGTAAGAACTGAATATCACAAGCTACTGTGACTTTTTATGTGAATAAATGATATGAAGTGTAAGGTGCAGAGAGTGCAGATAAAGTTCTCTTTCAGTTAAAATAAAGTTACAGCGTTTAGCTGCGTATGGGTGAAAGGAATCCGCAACTCTTTGTCTTCCTTAAAAAATAGACACCATAAATGCTAAGTAAGTTATTAAGGTAAACCACTAGTTCCTTTTGTTGATCTTGTATCTTAGTGTTTGGTAGTGTTTTGTCTACATTCACATCAGAAAGATTATATATAATATAGATATATATATAAGTAATCTTCTGTGATTGTTCAATATTCAGTTTTATTTGTTTTGTATTTAGACTTGCAGGTGTTTCAGCTGAATAAATGCACAACAGATGAAATACTCCAGGGAAATTTAATGATTTAAATACTAATTTAAGTCATTGCACAAAATCCACACACCCAACTTTTTATAGGAGTAAAACAGATATCCTTTCTTCTTCATGTTTCCCTCCAGCTCAACCTCAGTCTGAGCCTCAGCCAGTGTCCTCGGAGCCTGTCGAGGGAGACGCTGCCAAGGACAAAAATGGCTTTCGCCACAACAGCACTGGCACGCCCGCGCTGAGTAATGGCAGTGGAATCCACCCTGGCATCGGCGGGGCTGGGGCCACGCGCATATGCACTTGCGGTGCCAACATCAGCAACACGGGCGTCATGGGTGGGTCAGGCCCTGGCACAAGAGTAGTGGCGACTGCGCCGACTACAGAGCAGCCCAGGAAGCAGCCATCCACACCTGTGTCGCAGAGGATGCAGAGGAAACTGAGGTCCAGCTTGTCGGTCAACAGTGACAGCAGCAGACGCAGCAAAGGCAGTTCTACTGGGTCACAGAAAGCTCCTTTACCAGAGGGTGAGTATCCACACACCAGTTCTGATGGACAGCAAGTAAAGAGAGCAAAAAGCTACACACACACTGACAACTGATCCTCATACTAACGTTTCTAACATTTGTTTGCTTGCATCCTTCTCTTTCTGCATCCCTCCTTGTGTTGGTCATGAATTCATTTCATTTGTAGTTGGGATATCTCTGGAACTGAGGTCAGTCAGGGCATTATTCTGTTGTGTATTGCTTCAGATACATCCACATTCATAAACACACTCCAGTCATCATAAAAAAAAACATAAATTGGTAGTTTTAAATTGTTAAAAAAGTTAAATTAATCTAATCTAATAAAATACTGTGCAGCAAAACCACCTGATCCCTAACCTGCAGTCACACAGTGAAATGAGAACGCCATCAAATCATCACCATCAAAGTGGTTTTTGTGTTTAAGAAGCTGTTCTTGGGAGGCCTCCTGAAATAATACCTTATGAGTTATTGATAATAAATTCTTACCTTCTCTCACCTTTTAATGATGGGAGTGCATGACCTCTCATATTTATCACTCCTGCCAAGCAAATGACATCTTATCCCGCTCCTGTGGTTTTTATTTTCTTTAACAACAAGTCAGAGAGTCCGTTTGCCATGCAGGGAAGCCGTCACTTTGTCAGGTGCAAGGCTGAGGTGAGTCCAGTAATGAAGGCGGTTGGCTGGTCCTTTTCCATTGGGGAGATAGGTGTGACCGTCTAACGAGGCCTGAGAGCACGGGGTGCCTATTAAAAGTCGTGACCAGCCTTCTTCAGGCCCCTCACGGCCCCTCACACCTCTCTGGGCCCTTTCTGGTTCTCCCTACATCCCGTCAGCACCACCCTGGCCCTCATTAACAGGGCCTTGTTGCATTTCTCCTCCAACTACTGTACTCGCTGTGCATGTGTTTGCGGACATGCATGTGTTCTCTATCCTTTCATGCCCCATACAATATTATTGTGCAGGCATATTTCTTTAAAGTAGAGTGGCTATTCTTATGTATTCATCCAACCCAAGGCCTTTGCTGCATGACTCACAATGGTCAGAAAAGTTGCCGGTCAGATCTTTGATAATGCTGTACTTGAAATACACATCAGATCGAGTTACAGGCGAACAAAACAAGAAGGCGCACGTACTGTACACATCCGCAAAACTTCACAAGTAAAGGTGGGTTGCATCCACTAGAGATATCCCAGACACCTTATGTTTTCAACATCTTAATTGGTAAAGAACAGAAGCGAGAGGATGAAAAAAAACAAAAAACAACAGCAGCTCAACAAGTCTGTCTCATTATGGCCTTTGTGTTGCTTATTTGCAGACACGAGAGCTCTCAGAATCAATATGTTCGCTCTCAACTATTTATTTCCCCCAGGAAAACAGCCAAGCTGTTGTGTTTGAATGTTTACACGGATTAACATAATCTGTTTGCCTGTGAAATTAGCCTCCTAAACAGCCCCCTGAACACAGGAAATAAAAGGCGTAAGCTAGCATGAACTAGCTCTGGGGATTCTGCTGCTCCCTGTGTTTCTTGGCACATGCCGTTGGCACAGAAGCCAATCTGTGATAACGCCACAGCTTCTGAGGAGTCATTTACCACAACGCTTTTGTTTAGCGGGGTGGGTTGTCTCAACTCTTGTCATCCAGTTTGTGTCTCTGTTAATTTGTGTGTAATCAGTTAAGGTCTCCAAGCTGCTTTAGCCTCATTTAGAGACTTAGGGCCAAGGCTGCGAGCGCAGACTTTTGCTACGCTGTAAACCTAGATGTGTTTGTGTGTGTTGTGTAAGCTCTACTTTTCCCTCAGTCATATATTATAAACAGACCTGCTTTAAAGTACATGTGGTGGACCTCCGCTGTCCAACCCACATCCTCTGCCCTCTTTACCCATGTGTGCACTCCCTTGGCCACCAAGGCTTTGTCTGATCAATCTCTCTCTCTTTATCTTTGTCTGCCTAGCTATCTTGCCCTCTCTCTCCCTCTTTGTGAGTTTGAATGTTTTGCACAGCTTGCTGCTCCGAGGCCCATCCAGCTTGTTTTGTGTCATGCCGCTCCCCTTTTTTGATGTTAGCTTTCCAGATGTCTCAAACTATTTCCTCAGAGGCGCCGGACGCTGTTTTTGGCCCTGCAAACTCTGGGCTTCATCGCAGCTCGCTGACATTAAACAGGAGCAGTGTCAGTGTGTGCTGTTCTGTCTGTCTGTTGGTTGATTTCACTCTGTGTCTGTCTGCCTTTCTGTCCTTCTGTCTGTCTCTCTCTGTTTTCATGGAGATGTGCCTTGCGTCCAGCTCTCTTGTGTACAGTATACGACACCCCCCCCCCCCCCCCCCCCTCTTGCTGGCTTCTCTAAGATCCAGACTAATCGCTGGTGTTGAATTATACATCCAAGTGAATAGCTGAGATGGCCGGCCGCTGCCTAATGCCTATGTACTGTGTTTATATCGTATTCACCGTCTGCTGTTACAGTCTGAACGCTGGCATGGCTTTACCCTCTGGGTCCTTCAAAGTTTGTTAGGCTGAACTTTGAGGTTTTGTGCATGCTGCTGAGACTGGGCAGTGTTTATTGCTCTCATTGGCATTTTGCTGCACTCAGATGACAGTACACTACAGTCAATGCCAGTATACAATGTGGTACGAGTTTTGTTTTTCTAGCATGAAACAAATCCACAATCTGGCTAACAGCAATTTACTGCATGTCCGCACCAGATGTTCAATAGTGATGGATTTATTCTCATGCATCTCCCATCACTGCCAGTGTTATGGTCTCAGATAAGTATAATAAGATGCATTCAAACTTCAGGCACCCTCACAGACACACAGGCACGTAGACACGCTTGCTCGTTTCATGTTCCCTTCTCTATCTTGTTTGTATCGCAGTCAGCTAATGCTTCTGGTCAGCTCTGCAGCCCTGAGCACCGCAAAAATAGGAAAAAAATCCCCTCCACTTTGATTAATCAAACATGAGCATCCAGCGGTCCTCAGCTTGCCTTCCCATGCCGTCCTCCACACTCTCCTCCTTTCGCTTTCCCTCTAACCCAATCAGTAACAGCCCCTTCTGACAGCTCAAGATGGCCTGATGAAAGTTATGCAAATGTGCCCTGTTTGTAATGCTATTTTTCTGCATCCATCCACATCATGTCTTTTTAACACTCCAAAGCAGTGGCGCTGTGCTGGCCTCGGTTCAAAAAGGAGACAGCTGCAAGGGGTGTATGCCAGGCGCACTCAGCGAATGATACTTAGTATGATTTAGTGACTTGGATACAACTACAGAAGTTCTAGTGTAGAGCAGCTGGATTAATGAAATCATAAATTGTGAGCATTTAACTCTTATTTGGGTATCTGTGAGGTCTGAATAAACAATCATTGTTCTGTATTTAATCTCACCTTTTGCACTTATCGCTTCAGTGCTTTGTGCTTTATTTTATCCTGCAACACAATGAATAGTTTTATTCCAAATTATATTTTTTGCTGTTTGGAAAAAGTTACTTCACCTGTTCTGACTGACAAGTTTAGGTCAAGTTAAGTTGTTTTTTTTTTTAAAGGAGAATGGGTAAATTAAGCCTTTGATTTGATTTGATTTAATTAATGAATATAATGCCTATATTGAATTAGATTGTTTTGATGATGTTTTCTGGCTAGAGTTGAAATATTTGGGGGTTAAACTCTTCTGTACCGTCACTAACATACTGTGTCAGTGGAAGATTCTACGTAAAACTTTACATTTTTCTTATTTCATTACCTATTCAAACCAGCTTAGTAGCATTTTAATGAAATATGTAACTAATTCAGCCATTCAGAAACAGATTTGTGATGGTTAATGGGCACATTGGTAATTTAAAGGGGAACTCTTTATTGCCGTGAAACAACAGGCTGAAACTTGCCACCAGCCACATAAAGTGAAGAGGTTAAATGTTAATCAGAGGTGTGAGCATTGCCAGCATTAATCCACCTATTTGCCAGGGAGAGACTCTTGGACTTTGCTAATCATCTTTGTGTGATCAACCCAGCAGTTTGCATGATAATGCCACAATTATTTAACAGTCCGTTAATCAAAACTGCAGGAGAGGAATTCATTTCTTTGAATTTCTCTTGTTTCCTTTGTCCCCCCTGCCTAGTTAGCCCTCACCCTTCTGCCACATACCTACTCTATTGTACCTGTCAGCCTGCCATGCATGTATCCTCACTCACTCACTCACTCACTCACTCACTCACTCACTCACTCACTCACTCACTCACTCACTCACTCTGCACTGTTTTTAACAAGCACTAATTCTAGTGAGTATAAAACTTAAAATATTCACATGTAACGAAATTAATTTACAGACACATGCAGATTTGTGTTTTTCTTGTTTTGTGTTTTTGTTCTCTTTGATTGATTTTTATTTCATTCACATATTTATGTCACTTCACAACTTATCACCCTGGCTGCTCTGACATGGACCCAGACTGCTGCGTCCACTGCATCTTGGCCTGCCTGTTCTGTGAGTTCCTTACGCTTTGCAACATGGTGGTGGCGCAGGCCTCGTGTGGCGCATGCACGTCAGAGGCGTGCTGCTGCTGCTGCTGCACCGACGACCTGGGCGATGACTGCAACTGCCCCTGTGACATGGACTGTGGCATCATGGATGCCTGCTGCGAGTCCTCAGACTGCCTGGAGATCTGTATGGAGTGCTGCGGCATCTGCTTCCCTACATAGGGAGGCCTGTACTGGTGAGGACCAGGGTGTCTCTGAGGGGGATAACTGGACCCCACAAGAGAATCTAGAAGGACACTGCTGCTGCTGTCACTTAAAATATAGCAGCAGACAGAGGGAACAAGTGTGTGTGGGTGTGTGTATGTGTGTGTGATGTTCAGTATGTGTGTTTGTGGATGTCCTTTTCTTGTGATGTGTGATGACTGTTCAGTGTGTGTGATAGTATGGTGCGGTTGAGTAAAGCATGCTTTGAACGATGTATTTTGACACTGGGCTTCTCCATCAAAATCAGCTCAGCAGGGGCTACAGTAACTCCAGATATATGAACATGTCAGTTAAATCTTTAGTTTATAGTAAGTCATCTCTGTTAAGTATTCTATCCTTTGCGAAAAAAAAATATTATCACAGACTGCCTTAAAAGATTTTATTGTTACATCAGGAATGCTGAGTAATTGTATCTTATCTTGCCTTTTTTTTTTTTTTTTTTGTCATTTTGGTGACGGACATGTTGCGTACACTAAACAAAATGATAACATTTACTCTGTTTTCATTTTCAATACTTCTGTTTTTTTGATGCTCAGAAGCTGAGGTTGCAGTCTTAGTACTGTACAACACTGTAACAGGTTTATGTGACACTTCATACATTCTTAGTTGCATACTGTATTTTTGCAACACAGACTTTCATTCACTCATCTACTGTAGCACTGCAGAACAGCTGAAACTGGTGAAATATCAAAGGTGAATCAGGACATTATATCATCTGCTACTGTCGGGACTAAATACTTTTTTATTTGAAACATTTTTTGAAATGGTATATTATTACAGAACTGCACAAAATTGCTGATAGCTAAATCTTACAAAGTACTGGAACGTCTATGAAAACATTTTTATACCAAAGAATCTCATCTCACACCTCCTGATTTGGCAGTGTTTGAAGCCTTGGGTTTACTGGAAATACAGTGCAGATCCTCACATTTTTAATACAAAAGGTTCTGACCAGCTCACTGCACAGTTTTCTGCAATGTTAAGATAAACAATGTCTACAGTTTATATCTTTATTTCTCTGAAAGTCCTCCTCTAATGTTAGCCATCAATGATTAGGCTTTGTCAGCTGCATATGGTACAAGTCTTCTCTGTGATGCTATTTTACATACATACTGTGTAAGTATGACTTGTTGAACTGCACTCTGTTCATGAGGGGTGTGATAAGGAATTAAAAAACGGTGACCCTGGTTGCCATATAAGCGGCTTTCGGGTATGAAGCCCAGTGACTCACAATACAAAAAGGGAATCATGAACTGTCAAGCTGAAATGGTAAACTAATGCAGGGTAAAGGCAGTTTTCTTCTCCTTTTTTTCTGTTCCTTAATTCTGTGTATTTCCAGATGAGGTTGCGGTGAATCACCAGTGGAGTCATTTTCTTGTCTTGGAGATGTGCTTTGATGTTGTTTAAGTGATGATACTTAATGCTGGCCCTCATTAGCACTGCTTGATAAATGGTAACAAAAAAATGTCCCTTCGTAATGCCAACAAAGATAATGTGCTGTCATGTACAGCTCGTCTTAATGGCGCACTGTTATTGTGTATAAGGAGGCTGGACGGGCACCTCTGCAGCAGAGAATGTGCAGAAAGAAAACCTCATTTTCATGTTTATGATTAACTCAAGCCACAAGTTTCGTCTGTGCTAAGGAGTGTCAAGAAAACACTATATAGATAATGTGAAGAATTTATCTAAAAGAAAACATGTATACATGTAGCTACAGTAGTTGTCCTCCTATACTATACTGTTAATTTTTTTTGTGCCGTACACTTGATCCGTCTCATTTCCATCTTGGTGCATAATTTCTTAACTTGGAGTTCACAACTCATTTTTATTAGTTTTGTACATTATCTTCCGTCTCAAAGAGAACAGTTTTTAGAAAATAAAATATTACTAAAAAAATGAATGATCATTGTTTTGCACTAATTTTTTAAAATGTGTTTATCATTTCTTCATCATATTCCAGTTGTTACAGGAGCAAACTCTCAGTCCACTCTGGTAACAAACAGACCTCTCTTTCATTTGAATGTGGAAACTATTTTCATAATTGTCAAATCATTTTAGTGGGGTCAGAGCAGTTGCTGGTTCTGGCTTCTCACATTTGAATATATCCTGCATTTCTTTGTCAGTTATGATAGTAAAATGTTAGTATATGTCTTTGAGTTTTTGATCGATAATCCAAAAAAACAATTGAATGCATCTCCTCAATTTTGGGAAGTTATAACTGGCATTTTCACTCGTTTCTATAAGTTTCTGCAGCAGATTGGTCAAAAATTTAATTAATTGCTAGTCGCAGCCCTGACATGAAATGTAATTTAAAGAGTTTGGTACAGGATCTGTTGCCTGCTTGTACCTTCTTGTTTTTTCTCTTGTGGATGGGGCAGCGTTGCAGCACAAAGTATAAGTTTCATGATGACCACATCTGTAACCTCTCACCTCTTTCACAGCTCTGTGTTGCACTGTCCTTCTCCTCTGGTCCTGTCTCTATTAGAGAGGGTGCTCAGAGTGCAGCACTAGCACTAACATGGAAACATGGCCAACAACACTCAGTGAGGTCATCAGGGAGCAGGGACCTCCTGCTGACTGGAACAGCAGTCTGACCTTCAGCCGACACCACCCCCTATTAACCTCTCAATTAACCTCCACGTCAGCCCCCCTGCTGGAAGAGCAGGGAGAAAAAAAGCCCCCCCCCCATTCATTCTATCTTTATTTCCTTTTATCATTTTCTGCCTGGATACACCCTGGCCCCAGGAAATTACCATCTTATTTCACTAATGCGTTGGGGAAAATATCACTGTCCAGAAAGTCTGTAATCACACAGGAGTTGTACTTTTCTGTCTTTCTTTCACTTTATTCCACATTCACAGAGGAGGCGGAAAATATTAGAAACTCCAGGTAGAGCGTGCAATGACCTTTTCACAAAGTCGTCCACCTTTCCACTCCTCTAATCAATCCCCCTCTGATCGCTCACTGTGTGCTGGATTGTAATGTCACAATTAGGACGGCTCCATTGTTTCTGTTTGCCGTCTGGGGATAAATTCAGCACTTCTCTGATCTCAAGGTCACTTCTTTTACAATATTAAATAAATTAGAGTGTGGCGGTGGCCACCTGCTCCGACTAGCCGTGTACTCATCCATCCATCCATCCATCCATCCATCCATCCATCCATCCATCCATCCATCCATCCATCCATCCCTTCTTCCCGCTCAATTGGGTGGGATACAACACTTTCACTCTCCTGCCCTCGGCCATGAGAACAAATTACTGCTTTTGCTGTCGCTTTATATGGGAAAAAAAGCAGATGGGTACATTAATGGTGTTTTGTTTCCTTCGTTTTTGTATCGGAGGTAGACCTGAGAGTTGTATACTGATAAGATTATAACCATATTATAATTACATATAATATGACTAATTAGACAGGACAAGAGGGGGTGGCAGTAATGTGTGACACTTCTCTTTATTCACCATCTGTTTTTTCCAGATGGAACATCAGTACTTCTTTTTGTCAAATGGCAGAAAATGTGACTGCATGTGCTTTTCCCCCCTAGTCCTCTCTCAATCCATAAGATCCATAATAGCCATCATTAACTGGCTGTTAGCATTGAGGTGATTCATTTTGATATATTTATGATGTTGTTAGTCATTAAAGATAATCACACGAACACAATGGCTGTCAGCATCTGTGTGCAGTTTTTGCATGCTGAGCACACCGGAAAATTACATGCATTGTTGCATTATGGCATGTGTCATAATGGACTGTAAACATGATATCATAGAATTTTGTTGCTACATTGTTGAATCCTGAAGTACATAACACATGTTCGCTTAAATTGCTCAATCTTTTGTAATACATTCTTTTGCATTTGTACAGTAAACCTAAAATGATGCACTACCCACACCTTGGATGTGTTTACCCACTCGAATGCACCAGTGTCGTCTTTTTTTTTTTTTTTTCCTCTTTTTTCCAAAGACTTGGCCTCGCTGTTTAGACTTGTGGCATGACATTAAAATAAGATGAGACGATTTTTCAGTGGGCTGTGCAAGAAAAAAAAAACCTGGAGAGTTCAAGTAATGTCACTTTCAATTAATCTCCTCAGGTAGTGGCCCCATTAGCCCTCTCACACAAGGGCCTGGTTTACAATGCAAATAGGGTCATTACCTGAGGACTCTAATTGACTTTGACAAGAGGCCGAAGAAGCCTACCTCCTTACACCACGTGTTATTTGTTTGTTATTTCTCTCACACAAATTATTAATGTGCTTGCCAACATGAAAAGTGCATAAAAGTGCATTAGCAGTGACAGAAAGCTGATAAGATAGGCTTTTTTTTTGTTTATTTTCAGCCAGCAGGAAGTGTGGCACGCCTGTTAAAATTTGTATACTTTTTAAACAAAACACTCAAATTCAACATTCAGAAATTACATCAGTCTCAGAGCAGAGCCTCAGCAATGAAATGTAAATGATTTCCAAGTGAAAGATTTGTACCCTTTGTTCCCCTCTCTTCTTAGAGTAACAATGTGTGATCGTACTCGTACCTTAAATATTTAAAGACCCCCTTTTGCTAAAGCTTTGCTGTGGTACATGGGCCTCTCACTGCTTCTAATCTCCTTGTTACCTGGAGGCGTCGCCACGGTGATGCAAAGATAACATGTTGCAGTTAGCGAGATCACGAGACTGAAGCTTGAAAACCCCTGGATGGGGCACGGTGAGGTTCAAAGTTTTGTGCCCCGTGAAGACGGCGCTGACAACATCTGCCTGAGAGAACGAACGAATCAGACAGGAATGAAAGGAGAGAGAGAGAGACACAGATGTTTTCAAATCATTTCCTTTCTTCCTCGAAACTGCAGAAAACATCCCCTTCTTCCTCACACCCCCCTCACATTGTACGTGCAAGTGGGATATTTTTGTCGAGGCCTCGGTTTTCTGCGGTGTGTTTGTGTGCATTTGTGTTCAGGGAGGTTTGTGTTTCATGGATGCCTGCACAGGTCTTCAGACAGAATAACAGAGGCAGTGGTCTTGGACCTGTAAATAAGACATCAGCTTAAAGTTGAACACTTTCAACTTTTCTATTTTCCTCCCGCCCCTTCGTCTTAAAGGCACTGGACCGTGGG